CAATTCCAGATCAACATTTTAGAACTATCACCCCGAATAACGTCACGTTCCCATAATGACGTCATTTGTAGCTAGCTACCCCCCCCCCCCTCCAAGCTACAAATACTTAGCAATGACATTTTGTGTACATGAATTCTGGGCACCTTACGTATATAGCCTTCTAAACATTGGTTGGCACAGGACGCCACAAAATAGGAATAATGTGCGAAACTATCTGACCAAAAGTGGAGACGCACTATTTTGCAACGCGAACGTTGTTTTAATTGTAGATTACTTAATCCTTGGTACATTACAACTTGAAAAGTAGTCCCGGGTTTCTATGCACAAGTGCATATAAGTGTCCATTATAGTAATCGCGCTTTACGGTGAACCGTTGTTTTAACACTGAGTGTGGGTTGATCTCACCTGCAACTGTTATGGATGATGAAACCGACACAGGTTTCAAAAGTGCTACTTATATTGATGTGTTCAATCATCATTTCACGGACACGTCTCGTTCAATGAATGGTTGGTGTATTACTTGGAATCAAAATACCACTTGTGCGTGTTCACGCACCACCGGAATAGTACGTGATCTCAATTTAATTGAGTTAGAATGTGAGTCTCTCGAGAAATCGACGAAAATGCTCTCAAGACAGAGTTTGGCCGCTCATGATGGTTTTCAAATAACCGCACCAATATGTGCACGACTTTAAATTTTGTAATAAGTCCGATAAGATTTGTTTCTTGGGAGAGATTATTCTAATGTAAAGTTATACCATAAGTTCGCGTACTTTATAAACAAGTTAAATGCACGATGCATTATCTTTGACGTTCTGTGACCTTCGACCTTTGTCCTTATCCACCGAAAGTGGACCTTCCAGTCCTTCGTCCATAATGTGTTTTACTTACGTATCGACTGCGCGGCCTTGGTAGTTCGGGTAGATCAGATGGCAAATGGAACCCACCAACAAACCAAGCATGGCATGACCGCATTCATAGCCTGTATCAACGATTCAGTTTTTTTTTTTTGCAAACCGCTTTTTACATCGTTGGTGGCAACCATACGTATGGCATTACGGTGTTGATGGGTTGGCAAATTAAAAACGTATTCGAAGCTAGTATAAACATACAACTAGTGAATCGTACCGGTGACGTTTCATTATTCGCTGCCTGCCGAGGTATCGAAGCGAGTTCCCCTTTACCTCAAACAGGTTTTTCAAGACATGCTCAGTAAATTTTACTATAATATGCATACCCTAGAGAGAAAGGATAGAAAACTGATTGAACTAAGTTAAAGATTTAGTGAACCGTGTTTACTCTTTATACGCTAGGGTCCAATAATATACATAACAATTCGCGAGTTACGTGCAATGTTGTAAATTATTATACATCTCTCAACGTAACGCCATAAGTTACAGCGTGCGGCAATTTTGCGGTATTGCACTCGGTATTTTCATCCTACCATATTTGGAAATGCGAATTCCAAATATGGAACGATCACACGCGTAAGTGTCCTCAAGTAAGAAAAACAAACATGGCAGTCCCCAGGGTTTGACCGGACCCCATACAAAGAAAGTTTACTCAATCTGTTCTAAACTGTTTGTATTTCGGCATTCCCATGATATATCTTTGAGAGGAAAAGATGTATAATAATAAGGTTATTACAAGAACACCGAAAAGTATGCACTCAGACAGTACGCGGCGCTTCGATACTCCCGCTGCACTCGCTGTCTCCGTGCATACTTTTCGGTATCCTCGTAATAACTCTCAAGTTCATATTATCAAAATGAACAACAGCGATTTTGACGACGAAGAATTTCTAGCAGTTATGCTTGTACCACCTAGCTGAACTACCATGTCAGAAGTACGTACATTATTATCGATTTCAGGTCTACGACAATGAGCTATAATATACTGATACTCTGTTTAGTCGTGATTCTCCGAGTCGGGGTAGACTGTACATTACATTACATAAAATTCGAACGCGCACTACGTGACGACTGTATCGCTTTATAGCGGGGAAGTCGTCACCTGCGCATGCGTCAGATGGCCATAGCGTGTAATTTTTTACAAACAATCGTCTATCCATGAGCCTTTGCGTTTTTAGCGTGTGTTGTTATTGTCGCTTGGGACTCAATTCCCGCGCGTGCGCAGGTGATGACCCACCTGCCAAAACCTTCGAATGCCAAAGTAAACTTTCGCCACGATTTACAGGTTAACAGGAAAAGGCTCTAAGCACTTTTTTTCAGTACACCTATAGTATAAGACAAAAATGTCGACATAGATTCGGTTCAGTCGTTGCCTTGGTTACAAGAGAGCGACTATACTGACATGCGAAATAAACTGCCTACATTAATACGTAAGAATATTGGTGAAAGCTGCCACGATATTGTGTTTTTGAATAAGGTACAATAACACTTGTTGAACTGATGGATGGAACGATCTAGGCGTATCAAATCGATTTCATCGTGCTTTTAAAGACGGTTGTTCATATTACTTTAGTTACCATGACAACGGTTCTGTCATCTGCAGTTCATTATATAACGTTTTCCGTCATGCATACGTGTCAAAATAAA